GAGGTCTTGCCCCTCTCTGAAATCTTTAATCAGGGCTTTATTCCTTTTCTATAAGTTTTCCACAATCGCTTTATTTCCTCCCAAGCGCATATCTTATCTGTGCCTTGCTTTTATATGGAAATACAAAAATTAACCATAATTTTCCACAGAAAAAGGAAACAGCCCCACGTCAGGTAACGGTGATATCTAATCGTAACCGACAAACTAAAGGCACCACAAATCTAAATATATGATTAAATTCATGCTAATTCTATCACTGCAGATGGCATCAAACAATACTTCAATTTTGTCGTATGTTTCGCCCCCCACAAAAGTCTGCATGCGAGTATATGGGTCAAGCCAAGACACATGGATGGGATGGGGCATAGCAACCACCATCATATTGTAGGGCCCTCTAACCAATCCTAAGCTTGGGACAAACGCATAAAATGTAAGCATAAATAAAGCAGAATGCTGATTATGCATTTCCACCCTCGCAGGCTTACAGCTCGACCCCCCCCCAAAAAATAGAAAATAAAACTTCTAAAATGACATCATGACAGAGGGCCCCCATACCATGCGGGATACCATCCATACCTAAAGCCGAAAAACAGTTGCATTTCTGTGTTATGTGTGTAATAGAAAATAAGAATTAAATGAGCTACAGACAGAAAGCGAAAGGCGAAAAGCGGAAAGCACAGCTGAAAAATAAGCCCTAGGCTTTTTTGGGGTTGTCCGCCCTGCCCCTGTCTGTCCACCCGACCCCCGTCACTCGTCGCTCTTCTCCACAGCCCACAGCACAGCGCAAACACATTGAGCGACGGCCGTCCCGTTGAGGTCTTTGAACTCCATCAAATGTTGTACCGAAAATGGGTCACGCGACTCAAGTATTTCCCGAAAAACCGAAATAAATTTCCCTGTTGTCAGTGTTTTTGGTGGTGGGGTTGGTGGTGTCTGCTTAAGAGCACCACGCACTGTGTTCCCCCGAATCAATTTCAATTGTATTGCGTAGTCGCCTGGAGTTTGCGCAGCTCAAGCGAACAGCTGATGGGATGGCAAGAAGGGAACATTTTTGAGAGTCAGTTTTGAAGCTTGAGCGTGCGGAAGGGAGGGTGGTGTCAGCTCTTTTTTTTGCATTGGGTGTGTTTTCAAGGAGTCGTACGTGTCATGTCATGTGCAGAAGATTGATAAGGGTCGTGTCTTAACTAGATGGGAGATGGATATGAATTTGACTTCTTATTAGCAGGCTTACATTTAAATAAACATACATAAATAGGTACGGGGAGAAATATGTATTTACATATTGGACGATTCGTCATTAGATACATAAAATATCCAAGAGCTCTATTCATAAATGTATGCATTGAGAGAGACGGCTACAGTGCTCACAATGCTCGCTCTCTTTGTACTTTCTTTGCAGTTTTTATTGATCCATACAACTACCTTTACAATGGTAATATCCCACATTGGCAATGCCATAACGAACTCTAACATATCCAGAATATCCCTTTCCACCACAACACTCCACTCAAAATAACTCTCAAACTACTTAAGGGGCAACCATTTCCCTTCCCTAAAACCAAAAATATCCCACCCTTCGAACATTAAACTCACTGCTGTAAGACCATTAAAACTGCTCTCAAACCTCAAACAAAAATATCCCCGAGTGAGAGCACACATAAAGAAAAATATCCCCGCATGCTAAAAACAAATTTTGACTCAAATGGGATGCACTCAAATTGTATGAAATGTCCCAACGCTTAATTTCCCTGCCCATCCAATTGGACGTGACATAACCGGATGGACTGCGGGAGAGAGGCAGAGGGAGAGAGAGCAATCCAAGCATGTTTGTGCGTGTGCGTGTGCCTGTTCGTGTGCGTGTTTGTTCTTGTTTGAGTACAAGTGCTGTGGGTTGGCTGTGCCCTGTGCCTATGCCCGTGGCTCGGGGCTCTCTGGTGGCCAGTGACCCCTCGAGTAACGGTATCCATAGTATTAGATAAGTTCGTGTGCCCCCGTGTTCATGTCTCTCCCTCTCTTTATCACTCTTTCTAGTTCTAGCTCTGGTTTCCAATTCATTTTCATGAATTCTACATATTTTAGGGGCCATTCGCCGCATACTGATCGGAGCTTTCTTTCCGTGTTTTTTTTGGCTGTTTCTATTTTGGTTGCAGTGCGAGGTGCCTCCTCAAGTGTTGTTGTGATTGAACTTAGAACTTAGAACAAGATCCAATATATCTTTGTTCAAGTGGAAATTTTATGCTTGATCCGATCAATCCGATGCCAGTGCTCTGCCACTTTTGAGGCAGTAGCTTTTGGATTTGTAAATGCACATGTTAAAGTTGAAGGGGAAGTGCTACTCGATTTATAGAGGGTTTCATTGCTTCAATGTGGAAAATTCCACAGGAAAAGGGAAGTTTCTATAATTTTCAACGGGAATTTATAAAGTTAAATATTTCAGTGGTTTTTTTAGAATTTTGTATGGAAGGGTTTGAGGAAAGTCAATCTGAAAACACTAATTTTGGATTCATGAACAGGGTTTATATAAATGTTTCATACTTCCGATTACCAAATAATTTTCGACGAAAATATGTCAGGAAATACTAATTTTGGGCTTTAGGTTTGGAGAACTAACAAAAAAACCTTTGAAAATTACTAAAATTCCGCAAAGTCTTTTCCAAATAAACATTTTAACCCAATTGTTCATTGGCTTTTACCTCTTGACATTCCCTACCCTATTCTCTAATCACAACAGATTTGCTCAGTTACTAAACTAATTGTCAAGTGTGATTAAGAATTACGCATACATTTTAACACTGTAAGTGGCCCCCATTTGGAAACTCCCCGCCCTAACGCTAGACTCGTAAAATGATTTTCCCTTTTTTGGCTGTCGTAGGCCATTAAATTTTCAGGACCATTACAGCCAAACAATGCCGGCCGGTGAAAGCTTCAAATTAAAAGCAAACAAACAAAACACACACACATACATTTATTTTCCACCATGACAATATCAAAAAACTTCCACCAGTCCTCCGCTCCCCGCAAATGTGGGGGAGTCTCGTCCCCCCCACACAAGGAAACTGAGGCGGAAAGCCGCCCTCGCCTCGGCCCCATGGCAAAGAAAATTATGCGCATGTCAATTGACTTAGGAAAAACCACCCTTGCACCTCATCCTTGCCGAAAAGTCAACCCCCGATATGAAAAGGGAAATTTCTTGGTGTCAAGAAAGTGAAAAGAAAATGGCAAGGTCAATGAACCTAGACGCAGAAACGGAAAAGCTAAGCCGGAAAGCCCCAAGCCCAAGACGCAGAAGTCACAGTAAGAACCATCCAAAAATCCGAGAAGCAACCCCCGAGAATTTTGGGCAGGAAAATTTGGTCTTGGTGCAGGCTGTTGCGACGGGGGTGGTGTCACCACAGCACACACCTTGAGCAAGGAGCGAGGTGAGCCAGGAGAAGTGCACCCCGAGTGGGTGGCAATTTGACACACATCTGAACAACATCTGAACAAAATCTGAAAAACAGATAAAGACAGGAAACGGGCACATAAAACGCGAACTGCAAAAAACAGGGGGGATACGGAAAAAGAAACGGTTAAGGGCACCAAATCGTTCAATGTACAATCCGCTGTAAGTATTCTGTGTTCTATCTGGGAATCGTTAAATTTGAAATTTATGACATTAACAGAGTTGGTAGAGGAAAGTTGCACGAAACTTTTAATTGGGTTTCTTATGGGGGGTGGCACAGATATCGTATCGTATCTATCTCGGGTGAGGCTAAGGGAACTAGAAAGCAGAATTCTACGTAAGGGAATTTTGTGCCAAAAGTCGTTAAGGAAGGGCCATGCGATAGTTGGGAATATTTGTATCCTATAACAAATACATGGAAATACAAATTGTTCCGATATTTTAGCGACCTTTTAGCGCGTTCCCTTGGCGATAGACTTATTCCCGGATCGATCACCTGTCATTGAACTCTCTCTGCCGCAGTTGCAGGGACCTATAAACACCCTTCAAAGCTAGCAACTATCTCTATCTATATATAATCGCGACAAATCATCAAGAAATGTGCAACATTAAATATATTAGGCATTCCAAATGAAACACCTACGGAACACTTAATTCGAATGCATTGCCCTATTACGTATTTGACAGAAGCTGGAGCTGATTATGAGCCGACTATAAACGGAAATATGGTGTAGTTAATGTATTAAGTATATGTATATTTACGTGCTATTATTAACCAATTAAAACCCAAGAGAGTCAATAACAAAATAACACACACAAATATGCATTTTTAATGGGTGTTTTTAAATTACTTTGAACCGAGATCTATTTCTGTCACATTTTTCCGTAGACTTGAAGCTTTATAAATTCGTCAGAAATTCTTCCAGGCTTGTACAGACCTTAAATTGTAAAATCCTCATCTCCAAAAAAATACCCCAGCACTGCCCCTTTGCCAACACTATTCCTTTTCTTGTCACTTTAAGCTGTTCTGAGGAAGAAGAAAAAACTGTGCCATGTGGCCAGCCCAAAGGACCCACCCAGAAACTGTCTGCAGCCCATAACTTAAGCAATTGAAGTGCCCGAATGCTTTTATTTATAGCGTAAATATGTACATATGTCTGTCTTAATGTATTTCTGCTAATTCCGTTTGATGTCCTTAGCCAGGCTTAGCTTTTTAACTAAAAAAAAAACTGAATGTGACTACTGTTGAAGTCTGGACAAGAGAGATGGAGAAACTTTGGAGATGGAGAAAACTTATGGGGGTGGTTTAAAGTTGGTAAAGAATGAGAGAGCTGACGGCCAAGTTGCGCTAAATTAAATAATTCGATTTGAGCTGTTTGTGGTTTTAAAATAATAAATATTAATCGATTTGAGCGACTTTTATCTATCAACATTATGCTATCCATTATGCCAGTCCACGCCCCTTTTCAACAATATCAACAACTCGATTCTTATCAAAAAATGTTACGCGTGATTTCAAGCATTTACGCTAAGTCCATTCATGCAACCCGATCCAAACCGTCTATATTTACTTTACTCCTATCTACAGTCTATAGGTCGTCTACGTGGATTTACTGTCTGTGTTTATTGTTGCGCCTTTGGACTTTGTTTCATATGGAATGAGAATTAAACATTTGTTTATAGTTAGTAAGGTTTGTATCAAATATGTTGAAAGTATCAATCATTGAAAGTTAAAACGAAATACAAATGCCCCTGTTTTTAGAGTCCCACACAAACCATTAATAATTATTTATTTAGCATTTTAGCATGCTATTTATAGCTCTGCGGCACACAAGACTTTCTTGTCACCTGACAACAGAGGCTAAATTTGAAACCAAACAAAAGATTATCCCTTTAGTGCTTCTTGGCATACATCATAAATCAATTCTTTTCACTTTGAGCTCTAATTACATTTAGAATATACAATTTTTACAACGACTACGGCCCACTTTTTCCATAGCACGTACACCCCAATCGGTGAAAACAAAGCGTACAATAGCACCGGAACTGCAGAGAGTAAGTAAAACTAGCAAAAATGCTAGAAAAATGATTGCAATTTGTTGTAAATCCCCGTTTGCGCTAATAGAGCGTGTCATCATAAATAATGCAAGAATATTGTACATTTTGCATTTTGCAGTGTTAATTTTCACATTTTCCATATTGCATTTTGTACTGGCGATTAAGTGACGCCCGCCCCGATCGTTTACGGTGCGCGTGTGCGGTCGTAAAAGCCAAACAAAAACGATCCTCAAGTGGGTGCACGAGCAGGGGAGGTGGGAGTGGTAAACTACTTGGGTGCTGGGAGTCAATGCACGACAGAGATGGGCCTTGGGTGCTGCTGGTCAAGGTCGGCTTGGAAATACGCGTCTACAAAGCTAGTTGTCCAGCCGGGGCATTAGACCTACTTTGTGCTTACATTGTGGTGGGGCGGGTAGGCGATTCATGAATTCATAAATAATCAACGCCACGCCACTCCTTACGTAAGAGCGATTGTCTCTTTGCAAAAAGGGAACTGAATTGCAATTGGCCTGATACTACAGTCCAGCCAAACCCATGGATTGCGCAGTTTATAGATCTAGCTTGCCATATCATATAATTCGAGTTCTGTGCGTCTCTCGATTGTGCTTCCAAACTGGTTTTAACAATTAGTTTCTAACATTGTTGTGGCTTGTCTAGAGCATTAATTAGCACCTTGAGCCAGCCCAGGCGCTAAGGTCTGGCCTGTATCTACGAATGACTAAGAATACAACTGAAGTGTTATTTGAGAACTTTAGATGGATGCACATTTTACAATTGTTTTTCCAGGAAAATTATATAAATTATTACTGAAATAAGTGCTTGAAATTCCAGCATTAAAATTCGAGCGCTGGCATTTTTATTAGTTTTTAGTTTTTAGCTATTCTTTGACCATTTCCAATACCCAATTTCTACAGGTTTATAGTACTTTGCAAGATCATTATGAACTTGTGGTTTTTAGTTCTTAGTTGGAACTTTTACTGATTAGATTGTTACAGAAGGGGGAAAAAGGTGCTTCAGTTGATACCATTCTTATCGCAGGTTTTCCATTCACAAAAATCGAAATTATTTTAGCACATGAGAGCTCTGACGGGCGTACTTACATTAAGGGAAGCCAATATGTACTATTAATTTCCGACAATGTAGAATTTACCGTACTTCAGTAAAGCAGTAATAAGTAAAACCCTTTGATGGTTCCCCCCTTACTAAACGGAAATCGATACTCATGTCATAAATTCTCAAAATATTCTCATTCAAAGAAATACTTAAGGTATTGGCTTCTTAAGCGTGGGATAGGGTCTGAATAACATTCATAAAAAACCACTTTAGATTAAATACCTCAACAATTTCACAAGTTTATGGATTCTCAGGCATTCTAATTTACAATGAACTCTTCAGATGTATAAGTGCGCTGAGGGTTCCTTCTTCCCCTATAGAAATCAGCAAAGTTTCATTGTAATATTTACATATGTATAAATAATGTACATACTTCTGTTAATATTGGTGCACTGATAACGAGCTCGACAGATACCGAGATACATACATATGTACATATGCAGTCGATGACATAATGACGAATAACTTTTAAAGACTGGGCATTTGTAGGGCACCGTAGGGTATATTGTTTACTTGTAGATTATGTGTACATCCTATGTTCATACATACATATGTCGTAAATTGAAAATATCTCTTTGTGCGCTCAAACCTAGTTCAGATCCATTCATTTTAAATCGAAGTAGAGGGTATTCCATGGTAGTAAGATATTGCCCTTCGCTTGCTTCCTTTAAATAACTGTACAGTCCCAAAAATATCCAAATGCAAGTTTTCTTGAGATAGGAACAACTTTGTACGACCGTGGGATAGGGATAGAAGGAGAGGGACAAATACACACACGCACACAAGTGCAGGCCACGCGCGAGTGAAAAGCAAATATCGAGAAAAATCAGACGGCAACACCGCGACCGACGGACCGCACAACCAACAACCGTCTAGCTATAATAAGCCATTTTTATAGTGGCCAGAGAGAGATGGAAACAGACAGAGAGGGCAGCCAAGAGGGAGTGCAGCAAGCATGTGCATGCGATAAATGCAACGTGTAATTTCAGAGAGGCAGTGCAAGTGTTTTTGACGGCTGCTGGCCATACAAAATGGTAGAGGGCGTGCAATAGTTTACGATGCACGTGTCGCCGGTCAATGAACCGCACCACAAGCAGCAGAGCAGCAAGCACCAAAAGAGAAGTGGAGGGAGACGCAACGTAGAGCAGAGCAAAAGTAGAGGCAAAAGCAGGCAGCGACAGCAGCAGAGGCCATAAAGAAAGAACAAGAGATGCACAGCAAAGAGGAAATGCAGTGAGAGCGACACTGCCGCTAGCAGCATGACAAAATGTGAGGGCGAGAGAGAAAGAGAGAAACGAGAGTTTTCGCGCTCGCTTGCTGTCGCTTGTAGCCGTTTAATGCAGTTATTATTGACGCAGTCTGCCGCTGCTGCCTACGTGCTCGCAAAATGGCGATCTCTGGCCTGGAACCCCTGTGTACGCTGCGCGCGTCATCGCTTCAATATCACACTTTTTTTGTCCCCAAAAAGAAACTGAATAAAACGGTGTTTTAAAAGATACTGGGAGATCTAACCTAACCTAAATATTCCTAGTACATCTGTAATTATAATTGAATGCATCTACATCAGTGTTTACATACATATGTATTTTCTCTATATACATATTTACATAATGTACATACATACATATTTACATGTATGCAAGCATTTATGTTATTTTTAAAAACAACTGCTGATTGATGGTAATTATATTATTGCTACTGTTTTTTGTTATGACAACTAAAGCTGCTCATTATTATAATCAACTGAGAAAACAACACAAAAACATACCCGACCCACAAAGCTGTTTTGTAATCAACCATTTGTAGTGTGCAGCTGGTTTTTAGGGCATTTGCCATTAAATTCAGACTTCATACTACTAAATACACGTGTATACATAGAAAAAGGTATAATAGATAAATACATAGATATGTACATACATATGTACATGTATGCACGTACTTTTACTGCAAAATATCTGGACGAGAACTACCTAGGCTAAAAACGAGGTGGAACGTGTGTGCCGCTTCTTACGCGTCAAAAATTTTATACCCGGTCCTCAGTAATACATCTATTCCTTGGTGGTTTTTTTTACATTTTTCATTGTACATTTGATTCAATGATTAAATCTAATCCCAAATCGACGATCTGATAGATATGGTCATTACCTACGGAGTTGCTTTATTTAGAATTTTAGATTTCTCTTATCTTCAAAATTGTGGATCCAGCAGATTTCCGCCCTTTGTGCTGGCGGAAGGGGTCGGGGCTCATTTTTTAAATACATTTGTATCAATATTGATATCACAGCACTCTGAAGGCAAAATTTGGTTGCTTTAGCTATTATAATCTCTGAGAACTAGCCGACAAACAGACAGGCAGGCAGATATGTATGTACATACATATACATATGTATGTTTGTGCATAGACTCGGCTATTGAAGCTGATCAATAATGCACTTATTTAGTTAATGGTGTCGGAAACGTTTCCTTCTGGGCATTTTAGTGCACAAATACAATATACCCTATTTACTTTTCGAGTACCGTGTATAACAAAAAATTCTCCGAAAATTTAATCGTGTTACAGCCATTTTCATTTCACGTAAAATTGTATCTAAAATTGTGCACTAAAAATAGCCATCTAATTCCGATGAACCAAATTCCTATACTTTAAATAGAAATCGTGTTTGAAGTTTGATTTTCTGGCAATTTTAAAACCCTTGAAAGTACTCTTAGGTGCTTTATCTACCGCAAGATTCTATCTGCAGAATTGAAACAAATCAATTTCGTTTAAATTCGATTTTTTGGAAACCTTGAAACCTTATCTCTGGTTTTGCCTGTGCCACATCCTATCTACATAAGTTTCGGAAGCAAAGCATGACAATTAGATTTAATTTAAGATGACTTTTTGGAAAGAAAATAGTAGTCAGCCCTTAGCTAATATTCTAGTAAAAGAAAAAACAAAACCAAACCGCAATTTCCCTAGGTAAACATCATCTATACATCTATACAGTATCTCAAAGGTGTGGGAATTCATCAAATGCCTCTCTAATGCAGTGTGTGTCTGACATTGACATTGAAAAGGCACTGCGAAATATCATACAGATACACAGATACAGCCACTACAGAATGATAAACATGCAAATAAGATGGGAAATAGGGGGAGCATTTTTCATCCAATCATTCTTTCTAGTATTTGTGGATCTCATCCACATGTCTCTTATTCTGTCTACCCAGTACCCAGTCCGTTTTATAAGCCCACTTGTTGTTGTCTGTCCTGCTCTTTGGGATTGCGCGCCCGCTTGGTAAACAAATTTATTGCAATCGCAATAATAGGAATTACATCACAGTGAATAAGGCATTATGTACTATATGCAGTTGTACTTACGGCTACCTCAAGATACACAGAGAGTACAGGA